TTTGATGCAAACTCTTTGTTCAATATTTTTTGCCATTGTTTTTTTCGCAACGCACTACTGAGGTGAACTGGGTTCAACAGCTGCCGTAAACGAACTGTCTGACAGATCGCGCTCATTTTTGGCATAGTAATTAAGGACAGTGCTGCCAAACTACATAAACTTAAAATATCGAAAAATATACAGCGCGCGAATTTTAAATGAGAATTTCCGAAAACCTTTCGGTCACAATGTATGATATGCCAAGGTGTGTGGTTTGGCTGTTAATTTCGTTTAGTGTTGATCAGCGACAGGTAATCTTAGGCCTTCCTCTTCTTCTACTGCCTTGCGGATTATACGTAAGGGCTTGAAAACAAATTTCACTTGATAGTTTTCGTGAGGTGTGACCAAACCAGCCAAACTACTCCACCTGACAATTGGAAGTTATATAGTGTTAATTTGACTCAAAAAATATACAAAAAAAAACTGATCTCAAATTTAATCTGTAGATTAGTAGAGAATAAGTATGACCGAACTGTTAATACCAACAGCGTATTTCTTGATGAATAACCAAGAAAATTTAAAAAAGTTTTAGTTGTTTGCTATGTAACATACAATAAGTAGGACAGTTATATATATACACTTGGTTCAGAATAATTTAAAATCGGTTAGGGTTGTTTCACTTTATATTTAAAAGTCTAAAGCAAAATGTTTAAGTGTAAATTTAGTACATGGCTAAAGTTTGATAAATTTGACAAATGTTGTAATCCCAACCTGGTTTACATTTTATATGAGTAATAGGGTTGTAATTGATGTCTTAATCCGCGTTTGCAATTGCGGGTCGTTCCATTTAGTATATATTCTTATCATCATCATATCAAAATAGACATCCGTTAAATCAGTAGTTTTGAGAATGATTTTATTTGTATATAACTTCATTATTGCAATTAAAATTACAATATTATTATAATAAAGTATTTCTATTTCAGTTTTACCAATTTTTTTCAAACTTTTTATTAGAAATAAATCATAATAAAATAGAAAACGTTGACAAGGAAGAATTATGTAATTATCATGTGTTGACACCATTTCCCATTTATCTTAAAAACGAAATTATGATTAAAAATATATTTTTAGCGCAATGAGTTCAAAAGATGTAGACAATTTAGCTTAATAGAACGGTTCTCCGCAATCCATTGCACGCTAAAATGTCATCGAAATATTTTTTTATACTTCAGCATCTCACAATTTTTGAGAATCCAATTTCCAACACAATTTTTTGTTATTTTTAAATTTAAATATACAAGAGAAAAAGATAAAAATGCAAAACTCAGTTTGTGTACGAAACCGAATTCATCGCATTTTAAGTAGAATGTTTTTGTTGGTAGCTTGGGATCTAATGCTTTAGCAAGTTGCCATTTTCGTTTTCGAATTATCTTCGAAATTATTGAGTCAAATAAATGGAAATGCGTTCAGTTTGTAGTTTGTGGTTCAATTGATTTTTGACGTTTCTGAATTTTATTTATTTTGCGTCTAAAGTTAGCTTTTTGCAGCAATTTTTTGTACATTTGCAAATGGGTCGTGAACCATATGTTACCTTCAAGCAAAAATATTTTCTTTAATAAAATCAATTAATATACAAATCCATTCCGCGCGTCAAAATATTCAATATTTTTTTTTTTGATTTAATTTGCTTTAAGATTTCTGTTGAATTTATTAAGAATATAGACAATTTATTTTGGAATGGATTGCAAAATATTTCGCTAAAATAAATTTTTAAAATGCAGTGCGAATTAAATAAATTTTCAATCACTGGTGGAAAAATCTAAATAATTTCGCATGTTATTAACGTCACATGTAAAAAGTAAATTTGCTTTAAAGGATTACTACGTAGTAAAAAAGATTTATATAGTATATATATAAGTCGACACATTTTTGATTTGGAACAAATCAAAATAATGTAAAATAATGTATATTAATTTAGAATTTATTTGAAATTTTTAGTTAACTTTATTCCCTTCCTACGTTTAATTTGGACAAAACCGTTTTCCTTAGAAATTGTCAAATAGATCGCTTGGTTAACCAAAATCCGGTACTTTCTCAATAGAAGCTAGCCTTGCGGTTACATTAGTGAGATTTGAATTAGTTCGAATTGTTTTGTTCTTTTCTTTTTACGAGAGTCACTATTTATATTTTGAGCCTTGGCAGCACTGTTTGTTGTCAGGTGTCATCTGACGTTTCCATGAGTAAGTTTGACACTATTAAACATGATCTACCTTAGGCTTTTTGTCAAAAGAGCTTTATTTTTGTTACTTAAAGTGATTTCTAAATTGAGTGTTTTGGAAAAAATGGAATTAATGCGAGAAAATTTTTGTGCGATGATTTATCACGACTTTCGACTTGGATTATCAAGACAAGAGTGCATTTAATGATGAAGTTCCATCCTTTGCCATTGTGAAACACTAGTACAATAGTTTTAGTCGTGACCGTAGTTCGTCCACTGATGAAATTAGTCAGTCAGTGAAGGTCCTCCAAAATCAGCTATGGTGCCAGAAAATATTGATGTTGTGCAAAAACTGATACGAGTTATGCAAGATCGTCATGCGACATACTGATTGCATATATAAAATATTGCACGATCACTAAGTCGTGAGAATGGTTTCTTCTCGTTGGCACCGCCATCATTTGACAAAATCTTCAAAGACTCTCTTGTCGATCGGTGCCCACAAATGTTCGAGAAGTACAATGGCGGTGTTTCAAAAGACCTGTACGTGTATAAGATTGTAACAGGTGACGAATCATGGATATATGCATTTGAGCCGGATCGTAAACAGAAGTTAACTGTATGGATGTTTCAAAATGAACCAAATCCAACAAGAGTAGTTCGCGCTCGAAGTACTTCGAAATAAATGGTCGCTACTGGTCATGTGGCAACTATATCCGTACCATTACAGGAACGTAAAATAGTTAATTCTGAATGGTATACAACCATTTGTTTACAGGAAGTCTTCAGTGAAATACGGAAATCAAGCGCCTTCCGATCATTCTCCATCTCCATCAATACCTTCTTCTTGTTCCCGAACATCAAGAATAAATTGCATGAACAACGATTTTTGTTGGCGGAAGCCGTCATTACATTTAAAAGTCATGTTTTGGAGGTATCTGAAGAAGATTGGAAAAAATGCTTTGACAAATGGTTAGAACGCATACAAAAGTATATTAATCATAAAGAAGAATACTTCCAGAAACAATAAAACCATTTTCACCGATAAGTTAAAATTTTTTCATTATTTGGCTCAAAATATAAATAGTGACTCGAGCACTCACCAATTTAAGTTTACAAAAAGTATCTAATTAATGATAACACAAGATTCTTTACAATTTAGCGTATAAAAATATTTACAATATTTATGCAAAATATTCGTCCTTTGCGAATGAATAAGTTATGCTCTGGAAGAGCAATGTAAAGCTTATATATTTTGCTGTTTTGTTGTTTTGCCCTATTAAAAATGTATACATATATGTTTGTATGTATGTATGTATAATTAAGTGACAACGTGAGCTCTTTTGGCGCCAGGGCACAAAATTATTTGCTGCTTCTATTTTTAAATTTATAAAAAAATATTTTTTTAGTTTTTATTATGTTATAAGGTGAGGTAAATATTAAACTCAAATTCTAAACTAAGTCGAAACTGCTTCTGTAGACTTGTAGCCCCCCTCTTGACTCACTACTTGTATTATTAAGAAGTGGATAAAATATAAAAAACATGTTTAAATATTCATTAGTTATTTGATATTACGAGTTTAAAGTCCAAGACCTTTAAATATTATTTCGAAAATATTAATGTGTTCTAGTAATATCTTAAAAACGGATTCAATAGTTATATTTAAACTAAGTTTAGATGTATTTATACCTTTTTAATGCTCTGATTTACATTGTTTCAGAATACTTAATATATATGTTATTATATTTTTATACTGATATCTCATATATTAATAATAACTTTTCAAAATTTATATAATGTAATATTTTAAAAACAATTTTATATAATTTTGATGGATAATATATGACAATTGAAGCATTTTGCAATTTTAAATTAAAAATATCTCAATATTAAGAAAAAATGATCAAATAAAAAAACATATATTGTTTCGAATGTAGTACTCTGCTCTCTGGTATTACTTTGGTGACTCATAAACAATTTGTGCTATATTCTAATCCATTTTATACGCACTTTTAGTTCACTGCGTCTTATACTTTTGAGGTGTATCAAAATGTTCCGCATTTAATTTTAATTCCCGTATATATTAATAAGGCAGCATTTACAATGAAAAAAAATAAATATCGAAAATGTTGCCATTTATAATTTAAAGTTGGCAAAGTTTCACAGAAAAATTTCATTTAACAAAATTTAAAAATTTTTAATTATAATTTCATTAAATTAAAAATTTTCTTGCATTATACGAGTATATACGTAATAATAACAGATTTCAGAAAACATCTACATTTGGAAATTTTCGAATCTATAATTATTTGCTTTATGTATCTGCAGTTCAATGTTTAATTACATATAAAAACCTCTTTTTAATTTGTTATTATCTTAAATTCAAAATCCCAACCACATACACGTTGTTATACTAAATAAAATAAAATAGTATTAAATATAATATAATATAACATAGAATGATATAAAATAATAATTTATAATATATAAATTTAATACAGAATCTATTTAAATGTAGTGATACGTACCACTACATGTAAATAAATAGATAATGACCATGACCATAATAGACCATGATAGATAAAGTCATGGTATTACCGAAGTGACGACTTTTCAAAAAACTAAAGAAGCCAAATAAAATTCGTCGTTACTTGGAACAGTTGTCTAGTATAACGAACCATTTGGAAGACAAAAAATGAATATGGTAATGATTATAAAAAGTTTTAAAAAATAAATAAGAAAAAATATTAGTAATAATAAATATAATAATAATAAATAATAATAAAATATTATTATAGAACATCATTTAATTGACACTTCAAAAAACTTTTGAATATAATCTTTATTTATTTTTTATTTAATGTCATGTTAATGAATATTAAGATAACATTATTTAATTATTTTTGTGGAAACCCCTAACTTTTTTTTTAATATGAAATATAATTAACAAAGATTATCGCCAGAATAATATGAATTAAATCAAGGATTTGGTTCAGTTCTAATAAAGTTTGATTTCTAAAATATTTATATTTTTAACAACATCGATTATTTCTAGAACATCATAGAGTAATTTTTAAAATATAATGAAGATATGGTTCAACAATCTAGTAAAGTATTCGTTATGCATTTATTGGTAATTACAGCACTGTTTCTTGTCAAACAAAACTCTCACCCAATAGGGATTTTTTAACTAAAAATATTGCGATAAGTTTTCTTATAAATTTTTCTTTATTTATTAACAGAATATTGTCGCAACTATCGAAGTAAAAATTCACAAGTAACTATCAAAAATCATTTCAACCAAGACAAATTACACTATAGTTTGATATATGGTCTTGAAGTGCAACAGGTGCCGGCCAATCCTAATCACTATAGCCATATGAAAACCATTTCTTGGGCGTGAAAATGAAGATATGTATATGGAATACATGTGGTTTTAACAGGAAGGTGCCACATTCTACACAAAAATTTTCCCGGATGTGAATTTGCATATATTTGTCGCCACTGAACTTTTTGTGAGGTAAAGTTAAGGATCATATGTACAGTGGTAACCTTGGTTTTCGTTACTCGGTTTAGCATGTCTGCTCTCAGTGTGGTTTTTCTTGGCTACTAGTCTTTAGTTCTTGGCTACTCCATTTGGGTAACGGAGATTATTTCAGTATGCTTTTCGATTGTTAGTGACATGCAATTATTTTTTCATTATTTCTATTACGACTCAATTAAAAACATCCAATCGTTTTATACATATTAAGAACAAATCCTGCTTTTCCCATTGGTTTCTGATCAATTTTTCGTGCTCTCCTAATTATGGTAAAAGAGAAAATCTTTTCTTTGAAGAACTTTCCATAAATTGTTTAAGTCAACTTCATATAGAATTAAAAAATTGTTTTGTGATTCAAATAAACTTTAAATTAAGTAAAATAAAATTTTGGTTGTAATACTTACATTTTGTATACATGAAGTACTTGAAATAACTTCCTTTAAATTTGGCGAGGTGGTCTTAGACTTTAACGGAAATCAGCATAAAACCTGAAAAAAGTTGATTTCTAAATGAAAATAATAATTTTGTGTAAAAAGTATACAGACTTAATAAATAAAACAAAGAAAACATCAATCAATCATTTTAGTTTATCGTCTTTAAAATAGATTTCATCCTATTGGGTTGGCGTGCGACCCAATTTACTATACATTTTGCGTAGGCTGGTTGAAGTATGGCCTTCAACTTATTTAGCGAATTTTCTTCTATGATCGGAATCGACTCAAAATGCTTTCCTTGACATGGTAGTTTTAAATTGGGGAACAGATACGTCTATGAATAGGGTCGATCAGATTCGTTTATTTTCTCTGCCAACGATTGCGTCATTCGATTGTAGATTACTTAAAAGTATAATTGCAGAAATAGCTGGGTAAAAAATTGCACTCAAATCTTGCATCTTGATACAAAACAGTGGTATCAATGTACAACAAAAAAAAAAAACAAAATAGTGGCGATATCTTTAATTCAATGATATATTGAATTTATATAGATGTTATAATCTTAAAGAACGAAGTGATCTTTAAATTATGCGCAGTTGCTTTTTACTTTCAATGGAATTCATGCAAAAAGTTTCTTTAGTAAAACATTATTTCAGATTTTCTTAGCTTAATTCGTCTATTAAGTTCCTACAACTTTTAAAATTATTTACGTAAGTGTAAAACGTCACCTGTTATCTATAGATTACACACCATGTATAATGTGTTTGTTAGTGTGATCTCCGGCTTCTACCAGAGACATTTACTTTAATGTCTGTTTTATTACTAAATACAGAACAATTACTCCACTATTCTGGTTTTTACATAATTATATGATATATTTATAAAGATAAATACAAATTAACAAAAATGATGTACCATTTGTATGTACTGTTCGTAGTAGTCATCCATAATTTACATATTAATCTATTAAATCTATAATAAATAATTAATTTATAATATATGGAGTACATTTTGAATCAAAAGCGAAAGGTTTTTAAACTCAACTTTTATTTCTTTATTGTATGGACAATATAGGAACAGTAAAGTATGCACTAGAAGATTTATGTGTCCTGACTTTTAAGACACCAGTTAAGCACTATAAATAAATAATATTTATTGCAGTACTATATACTCGTACCATTTTTAAGTAACTTATCTTAATTATTAATAATTATTAGTATTCAAATGCTCTTATCGATGACCCTGATGAAGATATGGAGACTGAAGATGGCGATGATGTTGATGATGATGATGACGATGAGGATGAAAATGATCGGGAGAAGGACAAGCTTTCAAATGCAGACTATGATGATTATGAAGATTTAATAAAAAAGTTTAACAGCTATGATGATTCGGATGGCGATGATGAAGATATAATATCTGATGATGATAACTTGTACGATGATTTTGAAAAATATAAGGACTCAAAGAAAAAACATCAACGGTATGTGCCAATTAATTAGGTAAAAAATTTTATTGATAATTACAACCTTTCTGTCTCAGAGTGTCACGATCTATTGATAATGTTCGAGTTTTAACTATACATGAAGATGAAAATAAATCAGATCAAAATAAAACTACAACTGCGGTTGAGACGAAATCATTAAATTCCGATTATCCTTCATACAAAACAAGTTCTAGGTAAAAGAATTGTTAAGTTAAACCTAAAAAAGTAAAATTAATTTAGTATAAAATTTTAACTTTAACGTACTATTTAATATTATCTTAGGACTCAAGAAAAGATCTCAGACAATTTGAAAAACCACAGTCAACGTAAATTTGTAGCTGAAAACTTAGATAAGCGACGTTCACATTTACGGAGCCATTTAAATCGCAGACGTAAAATTCCAGTTTATCGAACTGGTAAGTATTAATTCACATATATGTAATCATATGTCATTAAAGTAATTAACAATATTGTTACGACCTGCCTTAAAAAATAAATGCCATTTTCTTTAAGTCACTTCTAATATTCTTTTTAAAAAATACATTACTGAAGAAATTTAGATTCAGCAGTTAGAACATTAAAATATATCTTATACACTTTTCATGATCTCAATCAGTCTTAAAAAGTTTTTCCTTCTATCCTTTTTTACTCTGATAAATTATATTATATCGTCTTGCTAATATTCTAACGTACAACTAAGCACAGTTAGACAATTATACAAACAACCATTTAGCTAGTTTGTATAATTCATCGAAAACCAATTTTTCGGTAAGAAGAACTTTTCATAGCAAAATAGAGCAATATACTGAAATATAAAAAGCATTAAATTAGAGACATCGACATATGCAGTTTTAATTATTATTTTAGTTAATAAGCATCCATGCAGATACTGTTCTGAGACTTGTTTAAATTGATTAAATACATTGTGATTAATTTTATCAATAGTATCATGACTATATAGATCAGTTTTCGTTAAAATTAAAATTAAAAGTGTGTTTAATATTTTTTAATATATTCTATAATTCGGCATCGCTATCACTATAGTGCAATATAGACAACGAAATCATAAGCGTAACGTTTAGATATAGATTTTATTAATATTAATTTATGTGAGATCCTAATCCTGATGATGATTCACAAGGAGAGTCGAAATATAGAATAGTATAAATAATATTAAACAAACGTTTAATTATATTTTATCAAAAAGTAACCTATAGCTGAATATGAAATATATAACAAACATTATTAAAAAAATCAGATCGAGAAATAAATTCAAAATTTAATATTATTAATTAAGTATTTGAGAGCAGAAGCTATAATTTTTATTATATATAGCTTTATTTCTGGAAAAATTTCAGGTGAATCTCTATCTTTTTCAGCAAAATCTTCGCTTATGTCAAACTCAATTGACTCAGCTCCTGCAGCACACTTCCATTTAACGCGTACAGTTCCCGGTCGACATGCAGCAATAAAAGTTCCATGTAAGTATTATGTACAATTGAAATATAAAAACATCATTATAATTAATTTTTATTATTGAAGTATATGCTGGAGATATATATATTGGGGAGCCAAGTATGTCTAGTAGCTATTTCGAGGTTGAAAATGGAGTTCTGACAGTGCTTGAATCTGGTCTTTATTACATCTATGCTCAGGTGTGTTACAATAACACACATGATCAAAATGGCTTCGTAATATTCCATGGACATAAACCATTCTTACAATGTCTAAATACTGTGCCAACGAACATCCCACTTAAAATTCATACATGCCATACCAGCGGCCTCATCCATCTACGCGCAGATGAAACAATACACATACGAGACTTCCACACCGATCGAAGTGTAATTTTAAAGGACACAAATAACAGGAGCTATTTTGGTCTCATTAAAGTGAAATAAAGGAAACTCTATTAAGGGAAATTATTTTAAATTGATGATAATTTTTTGATATTTGGCAGATGCATTGTAATTTTTTAATTTAAGCAGTAAATCTTAGTTGTAGACATGAACTTCTTTAGTTAAGTTATTTAGCATTAATTGTAGCAAACCAAAAATTATTATAAAGCTGTTTTATATTATTTTACAATAATATTTAATCAGATCAAAATGTGACAAGAATCTGTGGGACGAGGTTTTCTTGAACTCAAACATAATTTAATTATATCACTTTTTATATTGTATTTATTCTATATGTAACTTAATAAATAATATAAATATTATTTTAGAAAGAAACGCAAAATATATTTTGTTTGTTTTCTTTTTTACATATTATGAAGTTTATTTTGAGTGAATAACAAAAATGATGTAAATCTTTATACATTTTGGAATTTTAATAAATTCCATGGAAGCAGTTTTATTCTTTTGTGAGAATATTCAATAAAATGTCAATTAAAACTTTTATTTGCTGTTCTTTCAAAGTGAAACATTACGTCAGCCTCACGTATTTCTGTTTAGTTACAGTTCAGCGTATATTCTGCTCAAACCAGAGGAAAGTCACGTCTTGGCATGTTTTTCAGAAATATTTGATCAACTGTTATAACAAAATTGACTATTGAACGATAATTACGAAACTTAAACAGCAATGGCAGGATTTAAATAGACGTAAAGCCACAAGTATGAAAACATATTCAATGATTTGGAACTAATTTCAACACTTTAGTAAATAGAATCATAAATAATTCACATTCTTATATCTGACCCAGTCGTATCACTATAAGATATTGTAAATAGGTTACCTCAATAGAACATTTTCATTGGTGTAACAGCTTTAGTTGGTGACATTAGGATTAATTGGAAGGACGGCATCAAATACCTGGGATTCACGTTTAATAAGCGGTTCACTTGTCACAAGCACATACAAGTCAAAAGAAATAGTTGCACAAAATCACTGCACTGCTTACAACCACTTTTCAAACACAATAACCTTAGCGTGAATAACAGAAAGTTGATCTACCAGCACTACTCTATGGGTGTGTCTCATATAGCAAAATCTGCCAACTCTACTATTCAGAAGCTGCAAGTTGCTCAAAATCTCTTCGAAGATTCTTCAAAGTACCTTGGAGCATTCACACATATGACATGCTAAGAGCCCTTAGAATAGACCCGGTCAAAAAATATATAAGAGACAGAGCGAAAATTCACAGGCTATCTTACTTAGTACTATCTAATCTTAGAATAATCTCTAGCCGCACAGAGCGGTACGGAAATCTTAGATCAGTCATCGAATAATCACGAAGCTTTTGAGGAATACATAAATAGTTCAGTGAGAAGGGTGAGACTCTGCAGAAACCCCCCAGCTTCCAAAGACTAAAAGTGCCCAGATGCTCTAATTCGGAAAAGACTCAACATAAACAGCTTAAGAGAAAGTACTCGTATCCCCAACAACATTAATTTGCTATTCACAGGCGCCCAAATTCTTAGGACGACCCTGCTCTTGTGAGTAGAGTAAAGGCATGCTCTATATCCTTTAAATTTAATCAAACATTGAATATAAAAAAAATGTTAATTTGAAAATGTTTAAAAATGTAAAGTGTTTTTTTAAATTACTGCTACTCTTTTCTTGCAATATTTTTAAATTCTTTAGAGATAAAATTGAATTAAATTAAAAATAGTAAATGTTAGGAAATTAGATATTTCTTGACATTTATATTTACGTGTAATACAGGTATACATACATTACAACAATAACAAAAACAGTGAGTTTTGAAATTATGTGACACTCTTGATCAACGTCAAAAAGACTATCGTGAAGAAGTCAACTTTTTAATCTGAGCAAATTATGACAATTCAATTGGATATTGGAACTTCGATCCCAAATCCTTTATTGATTTTTGTCTTTCAGGTTAAGTTTTCGATACAATGTTCAAAATGAGTTTTTCAGATGATAAAGAAATATGATTCTAATTGCAAAATTGCTTTTCGCTTAATTTTATTTTGACCAAATACGGATTGGACATCATCAAACTAAAATTCATTAGAAATTCTATTAGTTATTCAAAGAAAAAATTTTAAACTATTTAATTATGCGTTAATGATTATGACATGAGTAATCGAAAAAAATTGTTAATAAGTTACTAACTAGTAAAGATTAGAGAAAACTTGCTTTCACCTAAATAATCATCTAAATTCTATTCGCAATCAAGAACCTTAGTGTGAGATACAAATCATTTACCTTAACTAATGCAACTATGAAGGCAAATGTTCTTCTTCTTTGCTTCCCATTTTTATGTTGTATATTATGTTGTTGTGTCAGATATTCCTGCTAATTATCGTCTTGCTTCTTCTATTTTTGCCGATAACATAGCAGTTCGTTTAGAAGCTTTAAAACAATCACTTACTTTTGATGAAGAAATGGTTAACCCAATGTCATATCAAAATCAGTGGGTAAAAATGTCCCAAGTCATTTTCACCCTTAAAATTAGTTTACCAGTAAACCAGTCTCTATTATACTAAACAGCGGTCTAATACTCCAAGCTGATATTTAGACAATCACTAAAATAGAAGAAAACGATAACGTAAGCACATAAATCAAAAATATCCAAATCAAACTAATGAATTTTCTAAATATTCGATTTTCTTTGAACTTAAACCAATCTGGACATATAAGGTTAAACTGTATGGTACAGCTGTATAACTGTATGGCATGTGGAACTAACAATCACATGCTTACTATAATAATTTCATTAGTTGTTCAATTAATAAATTTTATACTATTTAATTATGTGTTAATGATTATGACTTTAATGATGATAATGATAATGATTTTCAGTAATGAAAATATTTAAAAAATTTTCCAAAATTATAGCGCAATATAAATTCAATTGTATATACATATATCTGACATTGAATATATTAACCTGACATTAGAACCAAATATGATTAAATTTTATTACCAGTGGCCAAAAAATAATTTTACGATTACACCGAAATGCTTTCTTGCCATTGGAAGTCAAGTCAACTAGAAGGATGTAACAGGTGTTACGTAAAAACTCATTTCGCACAA